TATATATTTTAAAAATATAAATATAAAATTATGAATTATACAATTCTTATTTTAACCAAGCCATAAAATTTGCAACTAATTTGGATGATCTAAACTTTGAGGTCTTGTTTTCCCAAGATCAGGCTTTGGAAAGTCAAGAGGAAAAATAATTTGGAGAAACCACTGAATAAAATAAGCAAAGAGATTATTGTTCACCTCTGCTAAAAATATCTGGGAGACTAACTAAAACTAAAAAACTACACCTGGAATATCATTGAATATTCTTTGTCATTAGATGCTGGCATTGGTTCCTGATGACCACAGAACCAGGTATAAGGCCTGGACTGCATACCTCTGGGCCTCTATCTCGTTGATACCACTGTTATTTGGGCTCTGTTATATGCAGTCAACTTAATCCTGATATACTACGGGTTACCTTCATGAGTCCTTATTATCCTGCAGGGTAGGCATTACCATCATCCTTGTTTGGCAAGTTTGACAAATTCATTCATAAAATCTTTGCTATTAGAGGTTGGGAGTTTTAGGTTAATACTTTTCATCTTGAATATAAAGATATATATATCTGTGGTGAAAATGAACCAACAGTGATTAAGGCAAAGACCAAATGGATCAACTTTGGCCATTCTCTATATATGTATACATTACTCAGTAGTATAATTCAAAGTGAAAAATTCTTTTTGGTCACTCCAGGAAAAACCCATCTACATTGCATCATTCTGGCCTGTAGTATTTGCCTTTAGTAAGCTGATGAAAGGTAAATAAAAACATCGTGGTAGTATAAAAGGTTTCAAGAAATACCAGGGGAGTGTAGAGTTGCTAACAGATTTACTTATATATCAAAAATTTATTTTGCTGTTAATTTCAACATGGCTATTACATTACTAAACAGCCTATAATTCTTCCTTATCTCTCTGCCCTCATACATCTTACCAAAAAAGATAAGCATCCCCTCCCCCCAAAATCAAATCTTAGTCAGCATCAACCAATTAGTTCAATGGTAAATAATGGAATAAAAACAAAATACAAACCTTTAGAAAAGATTTTTATTTTCTTGGCACACATACACAAAAATGACATTTGCCTACTAGATAGAGCAGTTGAAGACATGTCAGAAATGAGCTAAAATTCACATAGGTTATAAGGTCCATAGATATGACAGGTCTCATGCTTCTTCAGTTATCTTTAAAACTTAATAAATTATCATAGCATAGTGGTTAAACTGGTAATCTTACATCTCATATTAAAGAGTAGGGTTGATTTGCATTAGTGAAGAAACAAGGCACAGAGCCATTCTCGAAATGTAATCCAACGTCACTCATTCTACTTAAATGTTTTTTAGTCAAATGACATTTATCCCTCTATAGTCTAAAACTGTTATTTTAATTATCTTTAATGAAATAATGTGTAGCATACCTTCTTAAACTTTAAAATAGATCATATCGATTATTACACTGTTCTTTCATTAATATGCCTAAAAATTTACTGAGGTGAGTATCTGCCCAATATGTATGTTTTTAAAATTGTCAACTCATTTACTTATTATTAACTTTTTTATCACATTTAACTTCTTGCTTTCATTACTTCTTGCTTTCATTAAATATGTTGGTTGTTACTTTTCTTATCACCTTTAATATAGAAATTAGAGCAACAGAACTACATAAACCCTTGATAATAACTAAAGTTTCTCTCTCTCAAGGAAGGTATTTTAACTGCATAGGTTAGAGAAGGTTATACAATGAGAACTGAAAGAAGGGAAACTTGGAAACCAATGCGTTTGTAGATAGAAGTCAGATTATTATTGCAACTGTCCTTAAATTTGTAGGGCTTAATCTGCTTTAGGTAGGAAAATCAGAAAACTAAGCTAATTAAAACTATTTCTAAAGTAGGGTCAGCTTTGAAAAAGGGTGTGCAGGTAATCTTACGGTAAATTACATGAACTTCAGAATATTGGTATTTGACCTCTGAAGCATTTACATATTTTTATTATTTAAAAGTTATAGTTGTTTTTCTTCATTTTTACTTCTTAGTCATAGTTAAGGTGGTTGGGTATGTGATTTCTAACTGAGAAAAGTGTTACTGTACCATTATTGTAATTATAAACATACCACTGAATAATATTGCATCATAATAAAAGGATTTTTGCAACTAATGTCTTTCAACTGAAAGTATAACAATCTATTTTAAGTGTTTTCTTGAGACAAACACATTAAAAAAAATTCTACCTACAAAACAAATACTATTCAAAATGTCAAATCACATAAATGTTAAAAAACCTTTTCCCTTTTATGACTTTTCAGATTTAAGTTATCTTAAAATAACATGAAAAACTTTTCAACTAATTTTATTGAATTCAAGATAACTACTTAATTCTTATCTGTTTTTATGATACTAAGATTATCCTTAATGCTCAATGAGTCAATGGCAGGTTTTGGTTAATAGGAAACCAGTAACTACTATAATCTATCAACACACCTTTACACACAAACTAAAAATAGTTATTAAGTTTTAGAAAATTAATATACCATTTTTTCTTTAAAGTTCTCATAAATATGCCCAACAATTTGCAATCTGATAATGTAAACCATTTCATAGTAGGAAACTCAAACTCAAGATTAATTTTGTAAAACTGTTTTTAGGAAACAAATTCTCAATGCTTTGTGTTTTTTTATATATCTTATGTGTCATTAACACAAGCAAATTATGTTAAATACACTGTTGGCATTCATTATATTAAAAAAATATTAATATATAAGTGAAAAAAATAAAAGCACATATGAACATCTATGCTCCATTTATGAACATATATTGTAGGTGGCCACTTCCATAATTCAACGTTCATTTAATAGTTATTAAATGCAGTGTGGAAGGTACTAGAAATAACATAGTAAAAGGTGAGAACATTAACTACAGTGTATTCATTCAGTATATATTGTCACTAAAGAAAATGTATACCATGTCTAAAGATACTTTTCCATTTCTTTCATTATTACTTTCTCATATTTCATTTTCACTTATGTACAAACTGAAGATTACATGATTTTTCTTTTTCAAACTCTGGATTTCAAAATCTTTATTTCTCGGCATTTAAAAAAGTTACTAAATTTGAAAGAAAAACATTCCATTAGTTATGGTGATTTTCTCTCTGACACAAATCAAAAGCACCTCTGTATATTAAAAAAAGAAAGAAAAATCAATGCTTTTACAGTCTTAACCTATTTGGGCATCAATATTATATAAATGAGATTTTTAAAATGACTCAAGCTTGTGCACATAAAACATTTACATTATATTATGTCCCTGCATTTCATAACATAAGTGACTGCAACTTAATAAGTATCCATGAATCAACTATAAGTCATAGAGTGTTTCAAGAACACTACTAATTGACCAGGCTTGTGTTTCACAGCTGAAAGGGCAGTATTGGCCATTCTCATTGGTCAGTTCTGGAAGTCCTTTCCAAGGAGATCTTAAAGAAAGAAAAGCCATTTTATGAGACATGATGTAACTAACACATATCTTGTTGGATTAACAAAATAGGCAAGTGATCTGGTGATTCTGTCTTTTCATGTAGAGAACAATCATACATAGTCATCTGCTACAAAATGTAACAAGATATCTTAAAGACGAATGCATGTATAAAGAATTTAGATTAAAATTTTTCTTTGATATTTAATCTTTGGGATTTAAGACTTTCAAATAGAAAAAAATCCCTTTATGTATTAAAAACATAGAAGAAACTACCATTCCTAGCAATATATAAAATAAAGACCAATATCCCCTCTGACTTAATTTTATTCCTTTCAGAGTATGTTTATGAGACTCATATTGTAATTCTGTACATGTATTAAGTTTGATCTTGACAAAATTGTAAAATTAACATGAAACAATGAAGAAATATAATTATTAGGAAAAAGATGCCAATTAAAAACAACCTAAATTTCTATAATAATTTCCATTTTACTGAATAATAGTATTTATTGTGCATTTATTATATTCCAATAATAAGTGCTTTATATACATTCTTCTTTAATGCTCGCAGCAACCTATAAGGTAGGTATCGAAACCATTCCTATATAGAGGTTTATAGAGGTTAATAACTTGTTCCAGATCTCACTATTGGAAAACAGCGTTATTAGCATATCAAATTTATTCTTAATTTGATGTAATCCCTTAAATGTAAAACAAATTAAAAAATACAGTATTCTATAATGTTTCATTTTTTAAGTTGGGTTATGGGAACATATTTGTCTCATTATTATGCTTTGTAACTCGTGGCTATGTTTACATATACTTTTCTGTAGATATCAAATATTTCATAATAAAAATAGAAAAAATAATTCTATTAAGTAAATATGAAGATATTCTAAATAACTAATAATATCATCTTGTACCATATTTTAAAAAACTGTCACAGAGAGATGGAAAATATAAAAAACTTGTTTGTTTCTAAGTATTCAAGCTACTTCAGAGTAAATGCCAGATTACTAAAGCTGGGTACCTACATGGGTATCTGTAACAGTTGAACTGTGAATTCAAATGTTGAAGTCCTAATTCAAAGTTGCTCAGAATATAAACTTATTTGGATACAGGGTTGTTGCAGATGTAATTAGTTAAGGTGGCTTAGTGTGGGTCCCTAATCCAATATGACTGATGTCCTTATAAAATGGGGGAAATTTGGACACAGACATGTACCCAGGAAGAATGCCATGTGAAGACTGGAGTTCTGCTGCCACAGGCCAAGGAACTACCAGAAGTGAGGACAGAGGGCTGGAAGGGATCCTGCCCTAGCTCCTTGCCCCTTTAGAGTGAGCACGGCCCTGCCAACACCTTGATTTCAGATTTCTAACCTATAAAACCATGAGACAATAAATTTCTAATGTTTAAGCCACTCAATTTGTGGTGCTTTATTACAGCAGCCTTAGCAAACTAATACAGTACCGAAATTAAGAAACAAAACAAACTTATAGAACCATTAATATGCTGCTCATAATTAGATACAGACACAATAGATATAGATCATATACCAGTATGGGTATAAAGAAGTCCCCTTCCCCTTGTTTTTTGAAAAATTCATTCCTTAAGTCATTAGGTTGTGACAAAGAAGGTCAGTGACCACAACTGGGGAGGGGAAGAGAGAAGGGCAGCAGGAGTAGCACAGAGTGGGATGTGAAAGCCTGAGGGGTATGAGAAAGGAGTTCACACCAAGGGTGGTGGTGGCCCAGTGCCTAAGTGGTGCCAGGAGGGATCCATGCAGAAGAGTAGCCTAGTGGGGTTGCCCCAAGCAGGCCCAAGCAGGGTGAAGAGGGCATCCATGTCTTGGGGCACCGGAGTGAGCAGAGACCATGTGGTGGTGGTAGCACAGTTTGGGGGAATAGGTTACTCACTGCTGGAAAAAGGAATTCCAAATAGAAAAAGGGAGAAAAGTAGAATTAAGTACCAAGTGGAACTGCTGTGAAAGGTTTTCAAAATGTAGAGATGTGTGTATGTATGTCTACGTATATTTCCTGTGTACCTCTCAGCTCCATTGGGAGGCACATTGACAATGACTCCCCAGGAGCAATGAATACCACAAGTGCCCAGATCTGGGTTTCTAAATAACATTCTTCACTAAAAAGAACCAGGGTTCTTTAGAGAATGGCCCAGTTCTAGGGCTGGGGCAGAGAAAGTAGAAGATGAGCCTAGAACATCTTACTAGGCTGGAAAGCAAGAAAAGATTTCTGCTTCTGGGAAACATGAGCTATAATGGACAGAATGTCCCTCCTACCTGAAACAATCAAAGAACTGGACAAAGTATATGAAGCAATACTTTTCCAGACATTGGACATTAAGCAACAAAGAACAGTGATCTTGAGAAATGAGGAAAAAAATGAAGTAAGTACTATAAGTCTGTACTGTACTGTCTTGAGAGAGGTTCTGGAATTTGGCATAGGGAGGGGAATCCAGGTGGAGCCCAGTAGTCTCCTTGAGTTGAAAAGATGGAACTGAGAGTTCAGGAGGACCAAGGAGGCTAGAATTTCCTGGTCAGAGCACTAGAGAGGAGAGAACTGACAAAGAGAGAACTCTGGAATATGCAGAGTCCCACTCAAATATTCCCAGCATGCAATTGGCGAATGCACAAGAGGAAACTAACCAAAGATGAACAAAGGATTCCTTCACCGAAAGGATCAGGCGACATAGTATGTGACATTCATGCAAGGTCAGGAACAGTGTTACTCCTACCAGCCTGATTTGAAAACTTCATACTTTTAGGAGTATGGAATAGAAAATACAGATGGGTCTTGACTCACTAGTGTAGACTAATTAGCCCTAGACTAAACACTGTTCTGGTCAGGCCCAACAAAACTTAAAATCAACACTTGAAAGGATCAAATTGTTTCTAAATAATTTAACTGCATTTAAAAATAAAGCTCAAGAATATTTATTAAAATACAAAAAAATCCAACATCCAACAAAGTTAAATGCACATCTGGCATCCAATAAAACACTAGCAGGCAAAGAGCAGAATACTAAGGGAAGAATCACAAGTGAAACTGACCCAGACATCAATTAGCAGATAAAGGCATTAAAAGTTACTATAACTGTAGTCCATCATATGTTCAAAATATTAAGCAGAGACATGGAAGATAAAAAAAAAGAGCCAAATCATACTTTAAGAGATAACAACTATAATGTATGAAATGACAAATACACTGAATGGAGTTAATAGCAAATCAGAAGAAAGGATGATAGATTTCTTGTCAAAATGCAGTAACTTTAAAGTACTAAAAAAAGAACTTGTCAACTGTGAATCTATACACAACAAAAATATCAAAAATGTAGGAAAAATAAAGAATCTTTTGATATACAAAAGCTGAAAGAATTCGTCATGAGCAGGCCTACATTGTAAGACAGGATAGAGAAAGTCCTCAGGCAGAAGATGAAACCAGATGGAAATATGGGTACTCACAGAGATGAAGAGCAATAGAAATGGCAACTATGTGAGTAAGTGTATGGGATTTTTTTTTCTGTATTACTTAAATATCTTTAAAAGATAACCAATTGCTTAAACAAAACTAATAAAAACTTAGTGTGGAGATTATAACATATATAAAAGTAAAATTGATGACAAAAATTGCACAAAAGCCTGGAGGGGAGAAATGGAACTATATTATTTTAAAGTTCTCATACTATACTTGAAGGTAAACTATGATAAAGATATGTATACTACAATCTTAAAGCAACAATTAAAAAAATGAATGAGAATAATTAACAAAGACGATATAATGAAATAAAAATATTCAATCTAAAAGAAGTAGAAAAAGAAGAAAAAGCTAACGAAGGACAAGATAAACAGAAAGCAAGTAGATTTATACGTAACCATATAAATAATCACATTAAGTACAAATGGTCTAAACATCCCAATTAAGTCAGAGGTTATCAGGCTGCATAAAAAAGCAAGACCCAACAACTAATTGTTTATAAAAAAAAAAACAAGATCCAAATTATATGCTGCTATAAGAAATCTATTTTAAATATAAAGACACAAAAAGGTTAAATATAAAGGTTGAAAAAATATGTACCATAGTAATGATTAATGAAAAGAAATTTGTAGTGTTTATATTAATACCAAGGAAGATTTGGGAGAAAAGACATATTGCCAGTGATAAAGAAGGTCATTCTTAATGAAAAAAGGGTCAATTCATCAAGAGAACATAACAATCCTAAACATTTATGCATCTAATAATAAAGTTTCAAAATACATGAAATGAAAACTTAAACAACTGCAAGGAAAAATAGACAAGTCTGTAATTATAACGGAAGATGTCAACACCCCTCTCTAGGTAATTCAAGAACAAGTAGACAGAAAATCTGTAAGTACTTTTTACCATACTATCGACCAACTTGACCTAGCTGACATGTACAGAACACTCCACTTTTATGAGGTAAACAAGGGAAACTCAATGCTATGCATAGCACAAAGTTTTTCATGAAGAGGAAAAGCAACAATGTCAAACACTATAGCCAGGTCAAAGAAGAGAACTGAAAGGAAGTCATGGGATCTGGGAAGCAGAAAGGATCTTGTTGAGCAGCTGCAGCAGAGTGGTGAGGGCAAAACAAGCCAGACTGCAAGTGGGGATGACTAAGTGGGGGGTCAAAAATACTCATTCTTTTTGCTTTGTTGGAAAAAAAAACCAGAATGAAACAAGGGTTGAGGTAGGAACAGAATGAAGGGACTTTACTTTAGGATGGGCTAACACATATCTTTGTAGTTTAAGAAGGAAGGATCAAGTGCAATACCAAGAGAGGATAATTATTACAGCAAAGTCACAGGACAGGCCGCAGGGATGGGGTCATAGGTAGAAGACTAATCTGTGCAGTGCAAGATATTCCGACTTTTCAAGGACAAAAGGGAAAAAAGAAAAAATAAATGCAAATAATGAGAAATACTCAAAATAATGAGAAATACTATATGCTAATATACAAAGAATGTGACAAATGGGTTTGAAATAACAGTAAATAAAACAACTAATTATTAATTATAATGAAAGCATTTCTGAAAAATATTTATTAATATATCTTTAAATCAGTTAACGCAAAATGCCCAGCCTGAATATTTTGTTTTTGTATTTACTCTGTGCTAACCATATCCAAAAAACAGCTAAATTTTAAAATCAAAGACTATTTCACATGTATAAATCATGCAATATCAAGTCTTAGAATTAAAATAAATAACCTAAAATAATTAAAGGAAGGTAAAATTACATTATAACACTTGTTGTGTTAAAGAGTAAAACTTTCAAATTTCATTAGGGTAACTAGAATATACAGAAATGTCATTTACCTAATATCTAATTAACTGACTAAACGCTAGTTATGTAAATTATATACCTTCGACAACTACTTACCTCTCAAGATGAACATAGTGCCGGGAAAGAACATTTTTAACCAAAAAAATAGTCTTTGCATTCGTCTCTGGACCCATTAATTTGGAAAAATATAATTTTGCACGAAGAAAATACCCAATGAGCCAAAGCCACTCCTAAAAAAGATGATTTAAAGTAAAGGGAAGAAAAAAGAGCTATGACTATTTAAAATTACTTGAAAAATAACTTTAACTGAAAACTCAGAAAAGAGAAATGAAATTCTTACAGGTCCTTGATGATAATTGAAACCTTTCGCAAGATTGTAGTTGTCATTGTCTAAGGCATTGTCATAAACTCCACAGTAAACCATATCACTGCAAAATGATGGAAATTTAGTTTTTAAAAAGATGAGACATTATATAGGAAGCATCAGAAAAAATCGTTCAATAGCAAAGGTAAGGGAAATAAATTATTTTATCTTTTAATCTATAGAATAAGCTCATCATCCATTTAACCTTAAATTAGTATATATTGAGTTCAGAGAATTTTATAATGTGTTAGGGAATGACTAACAAATACTTAATGGCTAACACAAAAAAACATAAAGTATATAGGTATCTTGCCTTCAAGGAGTTATCCTAACACTAAATACTGGTTAAAGTAAATTATTTCAGTTGGCCTCTAACATATTTATGATGATTAAAATATACATAGAGTAATTTGAATTAGTAATCATTAAAGATAGGGTTTATTAATTATTACACATTGAAAAGGTTTTTTAAAGTTTCTCCATGAAGTTATTTTAAAATTAATTAAAATCAGTACATTATGAGACTACAAATAGCAACTGAATACACATAGAGAATTTATATGCACTTATAAACTAAACAAAGTACAAACATTGTGACCGATAATACAAGGCAGTTATCTACATCCAGTTTAATTAAATCATCACTTTAATTTTTTTTCTTTTAGTGAGGACGGAACTTGTCACGTGAGTAAGCTTTAACTGTAGGTTTTAGTTTTGACCAGTGGTTTTTAATGCCTCTGAAAATGTGGTGAACACCTCTGAATGCAGATAAGTACACAGATATAAAATTTTACATCTCAAGACTGAAATTGCACAGAAAAAATCTACAAAGGTGAGGGTACTATAGAAATAGAGCTCTCCCATAAATGATATAGAAAACAAATTGATGATGGGTATCAAACTTCAAAACAGTAGAAGGAAAACATAATAGCCATTAGAAATTCAAGAAAAAGCAAAAGTTGAAAAAGAAAAATGGCATGAACACAGAATCATAAAATAAAAACAAAATTATTTATTGGTTTTAATAAAAATAATGGTGTAATTACATAGAAAGGATGAAAAGGGCTGGTGATTAGGTGAGGATGGAGTTAAATTCTCATCTGTCATCACAGGAAGTAAACAAATAGTGTCTAATATTTTTGAAAAATCAAGAAACAGTTGCATACCCCTATTACTTAAAAATATTAAAGGAACTACTAGGAGTAACACATTAGAAAATAAAGATTGTCTCTGAGGAGACAATATGTCTATACTTTTAATATCCATAATAATCACTTTTATAATAAGAAAAAAAGGCATTAGAAAATATTCATGAAATATTAGTTTTATAAACTTAAACATTCTTTCGCTGATCACTGAATGAATGACAAGCCAAAGGCATTTTGAATACTGATATTTAATGAAGACACAGAGGTATTTTTAGAAACTCAGTATGAATGCAATTTTAGAGATTTTATTGACAAGTAAAACAATTATGGTTGATGCAATACAATATCAACAGCATTCTTAGCACTTATATTGTAACTTACTCTGGATCCAAAGTTTTCATGCCAAGGGGACCAAGCAATTTTTTTTCTGCCACCTGTAAAGCTTTCCATGCTTTTTCTGTAGTAAAGAGCTCAGGGGCCTATGTCAAAAACAAATACACAAATGTCAAAGCAATGTCAAAAACAAATACGCAAAATTTTTAAGATTACAGAAGGATTAGTTTTCACTCACAGTGGAACATAAACTATTCATAAACATAGAAAAGAAGGAAAATGATTTAAAACTACAGTGTGGGTCAGAAATCTGGTGCGGGTGCCAAACCTGATCTAATCCTGAGGCTGACTTGGAAGCACTGTTATTGGCCTTAGAAGTTAGAAGAATTGTTAGAGGTGATTATTTCCTTGTGTCATTTCAAGAAACTGTACTAGCTCCAAAAAGAATTTGCCAGAGCAAAATGAAGGCAGAACACACTTAAACCCATCTAATTTATTCCTCAGAAGATTTACAAAAGCTTCCTTTAAGTATAACTGGTAACAAATACAGAAGGATCTGGCCTCCAATAGCATGAGTGTGTGATATGGAGGAGGAGAGAAAATACTAGTGACTAAGAATCTGCATTAATTGTAATGATTAAATGAAATCAAACGCACACTAAACTGGAGCTACCTTTATGTATCTTTGTGTTGTTTCTTCTACCATAATTAAGAGTACTCTGTTCAGAACACTTTTTGACAAAGTGTAGACAGCTAGGCAAGCACAGAACACATACCTTCTCTATTTCACTGCCCTTGTAGTTTATTTTTAGTCTAAGGAGAGATAAAATAACAAGAGTCTAGAATTCTTGGCAGGACAGAACTAATTACAAAACATAGAAAACACTGTGAATTGAAGCTACCTCCATTGGTTCACTAGTCCAGATGTTTCCAACTACTGTGCTGAGACACTGGTCATGGCACTGGTGTGCCAAAGTACAGATGTCCTCAGCTTTCAAGGCAGCTGGGGGCTAACCGAAGCAGTTGGATCTGGCACAAGCAACCTAATCCACTTAGTTCAGTGTGCTGTACAAGTATTGTCATTTTCTACGTGTGCTGTGATGTGAAAAATGTTTGAAGCACTTCATTAGTCATCATCCATTATTTTCTATTTTTTGATACCAAATGTTATAGGTTAAGAGTGACAGGCATAATGCTTTATTAATTAGAAAACATATATAAAACTAGCTAGTAAGCAATACATTTTTTAAGCAATTAAACGAATTTGAAAACAAATGGGAATAAAGAACTAAATAAATTGTCTTACAATACTTTTCAAATTTGAAAATAACAAATGAATCACTTACTACAACCATTGCTATGGTAAAATTAGGCCTGAGCTGATAGTCACACCAAGGGCTTGAAGCTCCATAACTGTCTTTGTATATACCACGTTTGTGAACCAGATTTGGATTCTTTTCATTAAAGTCTGAAGGGTCTTCGGACACATAAAATAGCTTTTCAAAGTTGTCTTGTATTTTTCTGTTCCACTCATCATATGAGACTGTCACAACCTTTCCTAAAACATGATAAAAGACTTGGCAGTTTTAAGCATTCAAAGAAATTCATACATTTAGTTACAACCAAGGAATAATATTTAGGTAATAAATTATCCACTTTTTGAAAGTGTAAGAATCTTTTGAAGGGCACTTGCCTAAAGTCAAAAATTATTTTTCATTGTATTACCAAAAAAGGATTAGACTCTAACAAATGATCCTTGATTTGTCTTTGGGTCACTCTTATATGTTTGAGAAAGTTACCTTCATTAAGCATTTGAAATGAGGATAGTCTGAATTGAGATGTGTAAAATATACACTGGATTCCAAAGACTTGGTACCTCTTCAGAAGAATATAAAATAGTGATTACAAGTTAAAATAATATTTAACATAGATTGAGTTAATAAAATTTATTATCATAATTAATTTCACCTATTTCTTTTTACTTTTTTAAATGTGGGTACTAGAAAATTTTAAATTATGTATGTGGCTTAAATTATATTTCTATTGGAGAACACAGGTCTAGTAAAAGAGTCGTGAAGATTTCATAATTGTTCACAAAAACACAACTTGCTCATAGTCACACTGAGGAAAAAGCAAAGCACGATAAGGCAATAACAATGATGATTTTCACATTTCACTTCAAAGTTGCTATAAAAATATGGTTTGTAACCAGGTTTGTTACAATTTACACACTAGTGAACTAGTGGTATTCCTTTCCTCTTAATCTTATGGGGAAGATGAAGATTTCTAATATTAGTTCATTGAGTCAAATGATGATTACATAGGTTAAGAATACAGACAGTACATTTGAAGTTTCCTTGGAAATAAAATGAACAGCTTACCATCTCTTTTTACTGTGACTTCATGATAAGGAAAAATATTTTTTTTAGATAATTCCAGCAACCAGCGAATGGCAGATTTACTTAGGCCCACAATTTCCACAGCAGATCCATCTCTAAAATTAAAAATAATTTAATGAGTTGGAGTCATTTAAGTACTATTTAAAGAGCATAACTTTTATGACTTATATAACTAATGTATTATAAAACAACTATTTATTAAAAAAACCTCCCACTTTATAGGAATATGTATAAGAAACTCTCTTCTTACTATTTTGCCATGCTTACCTTCTTAACATATTTTTAAAAAATTCTAAGAAGTAGAATGGGGATGATGGAATAAAATGAGGTGGTGACTGGAAAAAGATAGCTGTAAGGAATCAGGGAATATTGAAATAAAGTCCCAGAGAAAAGAGCAAACATGGGACATATGAAAGAATTCACATCCCTGAAGCCAGGGAAGGTGAACATCATTAATTTGAGAGCTCATTTTTAAGGAAAATGAAAGGGAAGTGCACCAAAATAAACAGGTTTTTAAAAGTTTATAAAGCATGTAGCTATTATTAAGTAATTTTTTGATAACTGATTGAAGATAAAATTTAGAATAAGAAAACAGCTTCTCAGGCTTCATACTGTTTTAAACATTTGAAATCGTAAAAAGAAATAATGGGATGAAAGATAAAAGAATTAGGGAAAAAGGTGCAGAAAGTGAAAAGATTTTTATAAAGGATGGAATAATTGGTTGTCTTCTATATTTATCAAAGATGAGCATAATGAAATGTTTACAATAAAAGCACTTCAGATTAAGACAATTTCTTAAACAGAGACAATGAATCATAAAACTTTCCTTTGAGGTATTTGTAGAGAATCAACTCTTGAGAACTTCCAGAAACAACAGATAGCTTTACTTGATGACTTTTACCAAGAGGATTGTGTATGTGCATATAAGGGAGAGAAAGGGATTAATGGAAGAGGAAGTGGGAGGGAGAAAGGAAGATTTTCATTGATTAATATGAAGACTTCATGGTTAATAGAATAAAGGTTTCCGCAAGGGTGTGGTTTTAAAAAGGGTATAATTATACCAGCACCATAAAATAAACCTTACCTTGGAGTGGCTGGGATTCCTCTGTTTCTAGCTCTGTCACTTTCTCCCATTTTATCCATCCATGTGCCGCAATTGAAGCGATTTCCTCCATAAACAAATCCTGTTTCTTCATCAACCCCTACAGTTATATTAAAACCTAACAAAGCAAAATAAAACACTTGTAAAATTTAAAAGTAATGTAATAAATGAGGATAACTACTCTGGAGAGCAATTTGGTAATACCTTAAAAGTTGAAGATATGCATATTCTACCACATAGTAATTTAATTTCTTTAAAAAAATTTTTTTAAAAATTATTTATTATTTATTTATCATCCATCCATCCATTCATTTATATGGTGACATTGGTTAACGAAATCCAGTAAGTTTCAGGCATACAATTCAACAGTTAGGCATATATTATACATTGCACTGTGTGTTCACCACCCATAGTTAGATTTGTCATCACGTATTTGACTCCTTTTACCCCATCTAGCTCCCCCCTCTCCCCCCTACTCTCTGGAGTAATTTCATTTCTAGATATATACTCTAGAGCAGGGGTCCCCAATCCCCGGGCTATGGACTGGTACTGGTCCGTGGCCTGTTGGGAACCAGGCTGCACAGCAGAAGGTGGGGGGCAGGGGAGTGAGCAAAGCTTCATCTGTTTGTGTAGCCACTCTCCAACACTAGCATCACTGCCTCAGCTCCACCTCAGATCCTCAGGCATTAGATTCTCATAGGAGCACCAGTCCCTGGTGCCAAAAAGATTGGGGACCGCTGCCCTAGAGAAATCCTTATCTATGTGCACATGGAGACACATACAGGGATATTACTGTAACATCGTTTGTATTAGAAAAAAGTAAATAACTGCTGAGTATAGAAATGGATAAACACTGTGGTTTATTCATACAATGGAAAACTCTATACCATTTAAAATTAATAAACTGGATTTACATGAATCAAGATGGATAAATTCCCCAAACAAAATGAACAAGTATACAAGTTGCAAAAAGATATGCCTAAGTTTTCCATATATTTCCATAAAATATAGATAATACTAGTATATATAACAGTGTATGTCTATGTGGCTATGTCTTACATGATTATATAAGACATTTAACTTAAAAACATATAAAATATTTATATAGTTTATATACATAATGTTATGATATATAACAACATACTGAATATATACTACATAATATATATCATATGTAATTTACACATAATCAAATATACATAAGTGCATAAAATACAAAAACATACATGGAAATAGAAACCGTGATTATAAGATATTTGTTAATTCTGGAGAAGGAGGGAAGAGAAAGAGATAGAGATGAAGCTTTACATATGTCTGTAATGATTTATTTCTTTTCAAAACAAAAGAAAAGATCTGAAGAAAATAAGGCCAAATGTTAATATCTGTCTAATTTCAATTCCAGGTTCAAAGGTATAATGCATGTTATTTTCTGTATATTGAAGTGTTTCAAAACTAAAATTAAAAACTAAAATAATTCAGAGATATCACAAAAAATATTCTTTAAAATATAAAATCTAATTCTATTTAGTTCTCTTAGTGAAGGATATAAAAAGTTATTCAGTGATCTTTGCCAGCTCAGCTGGGTATAAAATTTGTACATTGCCACTACATATAATAAATTAACTAAATGAGGTTTAACTACTGTTTAAAAAAGAATTCATAATATACAAGAAGGTATTTAAATTTCTGAGTATATATCGTTTGCCAATGAGCTAGGGAGTTATCTAAAATGTCTAATCACTTAAGCTTATTATTTTATGTTAAAAATAATAGTCTTAAAAAAAGTAAAAAAAAAAGAAAGTTCATAATTCTATTACTCTAATAAAATTATTACAAGTCAGTCATCCGATCAATAAAAATGAGAATATAACTCATCTTCAATGTTCCTGGGAGAGTTAAATGGGAATAACATAGGCAAAGCAGCACAATGCCCAGTGCACAGTAAGTACTTAATTATCAGTGATTCTTATTATGATTATAAATGCAACTTCCAAATTATCTTTCAAATTGGCTAACAAAAGTATAAAATTTTATCTGTCTTCTAGAAACTAAAACTAAACTAGTGAGATCAGAATCATCTTAATCTTTTTTCCATAGTTATATTCTGAAGTTTTACATGCAAATAAAATATTTGTCAAATAAATGAACAACTACAAGGTTTAATTTTACCTCATCAGTAAATCTTTACTATGTAAAGTGATGTACCTTCATCCTTCATGTTTCGATCTATCTGTGGACCAGCATTCCTTTCTCGGAACTGTATGCCCTGCATGTGCCTCTGCATAGCTTCTTGTATTACTTCAAACAATGGCTGATCCTGTTTGAGACATAATGGACATTACCTCTGTTAGAAATTACATTTTTCTTACCTTCCTCTGAATACCACAACTGAAGTTTTGTGAAAATACATTTTCCTTTGGAGGGAAAAATGGGGTCAGGGGTAGGACTGGGGAAAGCAGCAGCTCTTATACATCAAATAATACAGTTGACCCTTGGCATATGAATATTTAACATATTGTAGTTGTAACTATTAATGTCTGTGACATGAAATAATTTGTAATTTTGCTGACACAAGAAAATGAATCTTGTGAGCTTGTATAGTTTCTATTAGAGTGAATTGTTCAGCTAGTAGTAAGTGAATCTAGCTTATTATACAGAAATCTAAATTTTAAATTGGCATTCTTATTCATTCACATACATAGGAAGGGGGATAAATTATATACTAATGTGGTATTTTAGGTAAAACTGTTTTTTGACAAATGTTCTTTGAATACTTCATGATATAAATAAACATCATGGAGACACCAATCTGTGCTTGCCCTGAGGTAGTTTAGAAGTCCCCCATAGTCATAACCAAACAAACAATAACATATAGGCAGATCAGAGGTGGCAAAGGTACTGTATCACTATACATTACTGACTGGGAAAATATTACTCAAAAATGTTTATTCATGCTGCACTGAGAAACTCTGAACTCCCTGGATTGGTAGTCAGGGCTCTCCACAACCTGGTTCACCCTTTTCACAATCTTTTACTACCTTGCAGGTGCCTTACACAAAAAGCCAAACTAGACTGAGCAGTATGATTTAAATTCTAAACTATGCTTCAATCCACCCTGAGCTTTATTATTCTTTTCATCTTTAATGTCTTTCCACAACTTCTCTCATCTCTGCTGAAATCTTACTCACCTTTTAGTTCAGGTCCAGTTTATGTGAAATTTTAGTTACTTTCTAAAGTCCTCCCTGAGACCTACCTACTAGATCATCTCCCTTCCTCTTAGGAAAGACTGCACAGCGCTTCCTACACACCTCTTTTTGCAATGACCATATGACGTACGCATCATCTCTTCTACCATGTTGCAAGCTCTTTAAGTAAGCCCCAAGTTTTATCTCTGCAATCTCTCACAGTACCAGCAGATGCTAATAGCAATGTCTGAAGAATTAAGATTCAGATTCCTAATTACATGTATTTTTTATTAGAAGCTAAAAGCTATTTTTCAGGAAAAGAAATTATTTTAAGAAATGATTTTTACCACTGTGCCGGCCGACAAAGGAACAGAATCATCTGTAGGATACATTCTGGAGACAGGGCACTTGAGAATGTCTAGGCCATTTGGAACCACTTTACAGTAGTCTTGAATACACTGCAGCCACCACCACACGGCATCCCGGCAGTTGTATCTGGCATAAGTTCCTTCACCCAGGAGATTAGGAATGAGACCGTGTCTCAAGGTACCAGCAAACGCTAAAATAATATTCCTAAAACAACAGAATTAGGTAGATCATTTCACATGAAAACAATCACCTGAAAATCAGAAGACAAAAAAGTCACTTTTGGTGACTATTATTTTGGATGCATTTTTCTTTCCTGTCCTTATTGCTTTGTATTTTCATGTAGAAAGTGGTCAAAATATAGAACAAGCACTGAATTAAAGGTCAGAAACTTTGATCCTAGCCCTGGTTTTTTTCTAACATCTGTGTGACTTACCCTCTCTGGGATGGTTTTTCCATCTGTGGAGTAAGGGATGTGACGGGGTGATTTCTAAGCTCCCCTGTCACATCCAGCTCTAGATTCTACTTTTGAAATCCTTGGTATTTCAAAATCTAAGTAATTAAGAACATGCATTCTATTATTTTAAATAGCAAATATCAAGAGCAAAGCAAACATGTAAAAAAATAAATGAGTAGAAGCTGACCTTGAAAAACAGGATTAATTTTCAAAAATTGGTAAAAGGATATTTTATCTTTGAAAGTGTTAACCTACTATCATATACCAAATGACAACTTTGTAAGATGGCATAGCATCTTACAAAGAATATGAAAACTCTAAAAAGAGTAGGAAAGTAAGAAATAAGGACTGAGGTTTAAATCCTCGTGTTACCATCTGTATGCCTTGGAAAACCATTTAAAATGTGTAGGCCTCAGTGCTTTTTGGCTAAACCACTTAGAAATTTAATTACTTCTACGTTTCAGTTTAATACCTATCTCTTAAATAATAGTGCAGCAGGAAAGTTTTTATTTTCTGCAGTATAAAGTGTTAGCGTGTACAGTGACACTTCCAGTTAATAAAGGGCCACAGTGCTAGCGGTCTTCACCATCCAGAACAATGTCCTACACTTGCAAGTTGAAGCCAAAGACCTCTGTCCACAAATACCTCTGCAGAGGGAGAAAGTAGAACTAGCTGTAGTAGAAATAGTCATATGTCCACTAAAATGGTTTCCTACATGTCCCAAACTACCTTATAGCTGGTTGTGGCTAGATGACTGCATACTAAGGCAAAAGAATATAAATAAAACTGAGCTATGTTAAGTACAAGGAACGGGATGAACTTCCCCAGGATCTCTCCCTCTCTGCCAGAGAACTGGAGATGACTCAGGCCCTGGAAGACAGTAGATCCTCAAGATGAAGGAGCCTGTATCCTTAAACCACTATGTGAAAAGCTGCCTCCTGAATAACCATATTGGAGTAGAAGCAAGAAATAAATTTTAAGAAAAGCCATTATAATTTAAGAGTTTATAATTTATAGCTGTTAGCATGAATCTAGCAAATATATTATCCTCTAGGAATCATCTAGATCAGGGGTGGGCAAACTTTGTAAAGGGCTAGATAGTAAATATTTTAGGCTTTGTTGGCTATATATGGTTTCAGTCATGTTTTTTCTTTTTTAAATGACTTTTTAAAAAGGTAAAAACCATTCTTTGCTCATAGGCCATATGAAACAGGTTTGCCGACTCCTGATCTAGATAGTCATGTGTCAAATTAAGCAGCAGAAATTTTTGACAGTACATGGAAGTGATAATTGGGAGCCCGGATAACAATGAAAACAATGATTTTAAAAAACTAATATTTATGGAATGCTTCACATGTGGCAGACACTGTTCTAGACACTTCTACAGAGAGCAAAGAGGATAAATAATTTATCAGGTGGTAGTTTGGAACCAGAATTAGAACCTGGCAGTCTGGCCCAAACCCAAGTTCTTAACCACTATATTATGCTGAATCCTGAGATCCCATTCTTACTTAGTCACAGTCATTTAGAAGCATTTGGGGAAGAAGCAAACAGCCTCTCAATTTCTATGGCCCCATAATGGTATCGTAAGTCAATAAGAAAAGGTCTTAGTATATTAGGTTAGTAGGGAAGAATATAATACATATCAGATGTCTACTTAGAAATTTTCAAATTTTAGAAGGACCAAAAATAAAACTATTGTTATTCAAAGAAGCAAACCAGTTACTTTTCTGATGACACCAAAATGAGGTATCCTATAAATGTTTTTTTTCCCCAAGTTTTAACTTGTAGAGCACTGCCGTTCAAACTTAGCCTTGAGCTATTGGTAATCACCAGAGCCCCTGTGAAATTAAGGGATTTCAACCTGCCAACTCTGCCCTCTCCACCCCAGCTTCAGATTCAGGAGAACCAATACAGGGACCACAAATATGCACTTCTAATAGACTCTCGGATGATGGAGACACTGCTGATTTGTGGAACACACTCTGAGTGGCACTGCTGTTGAGCTTTCTTTTCTACCTCCAATAAATCTATTTATATTATTATGGCATAAGAAAACACCATTTTCTAGAAAACATAAAACTAGAAGTTACAAGGCCTGACAAGACAGAAGAAAACCTGATAGTATAGTTCTTTCTACAGGACTCAAAGAGCCCGCAGTATCTTCATTATAGAAGGACTTTCAAATTCTACCTAAAAGTTCATCTGAGTTCTTATACTTAATTTAGGCATAAAAATTTTATTCTTTAGTGAGCGACGTTAATAACATGGTTATACATTTTTTTAGTTTTACTGAAAGAAATTAACAAATGCTGAAAATAACCTGACCTGTAACATGAGGAACCTGAAGTTAGTAACTTCGAAGATTTTCACTCATTTGCAATTCTATGATCCTATTAAATGAACATGTAAAAAATACAATAAAAGAAAAAAACATTTACAGAAAACATCTCTCTCAAATATTGAGAGTGGATGGATAAGAGGAAAGTTCGAAGAGCATGTAAAAAACATTCAAACAGAAGGCTGCACTGAACCTTTTAGAGATCTCCTACCTGGCTTCTAAATAGCGCCCGGTAATCAGCAGTATACCTCTAAGTGCAATAAAAGTATCCCTTCCCCAGCAGCGGAAAATACCAGAAGAAAAATGAGGCAAGCCTAACAGGAAACACAAAAAAATAATGTTAATTTAAAAAATACACACATGCTTATGAACTTCTTTACTATAGACCAGTCACTAAACCTGGAGACCCAGGATGAGCTATAGGTAGTCTGCGAACTCTAAAATTATCTGTAAAATGTGTGTCTACGTTTATGTCAACATCTGTTTGATGAGGTTCCATAGTTTTAACAGATTCTTAAAGAAACCTGTGGACTCGAAAGAGATTCAGAACCAGGGCTAGAGAGTAATGTCTATCTAAACTGATTTGAATGTAAACACGGATAAATTTCTTTGAATGAATTAAAGTCAGAGATCAAATATTTAACACATAAACAAACATTTAATGTAATATTAATGATATATTTGCAAAGATGCTACCTGCAACTTAAATACAACAAATTAAATAAGAAATGATTACTTTAATGATACATATTAACTGTTTTAGTCATCTATCACTTTAGGGTTAAAGAGTATTACTCAATATCCTATTAATTCAAAACAACTTAAAAGTATTATACTTTGTTAGCCAAGAACAGTTTTTACATATGAAAACAGGGATTTCAGGTATCAAATAACTTGAACATTCTAGGTAATTGCAGCCTTTATTCATGAGATAAAATAGCGTTATCAATGGATAAAATCTAAAATTTTATTTTTAGATTGAGTTTGGTTTCTTATAAAACATAAAAAATACAAATGTTATTTGTATTTGTACTAAAAACAATAATCAGTAGGAAAGCAAAGCAAAGGAAATTAGCATTTCACTTAAAAAAAGAACTATGCCAAAGCATAAATTTAACAAATATTTCAGGAAGGGAAAACTGAGAACATAAATAAAATGCACACAGCATTCATTCATAACTTCTAAGCTCTGACATTATCTTGTTTGTCTGTTTTCTGGTTTGTTGAAGGAACAACTCTTCCCCAATAGAAAATAAGAGCCACGATACAGAAACATCCTCTGCTTTGTTTACTAAAGTATATCTTTAGTAAAGTATAAATTATATCATTGAAAATAATATATTATAAAAAATTAATGAATAAATGAAATAAAAGACTAAGATAAAAGAAAATTTGGGCAATTACTAAGTGTACTTCACTATTTAAGTTTCTGCTTATTGGGTTTTCACCTTCGTGGAGATTAGACATTTTCTTCTGTTAAGAAAGATCAGAACTAAAGGTAACACTAGACATTTCTTTCTATATTGTCTCCAAAATAATAATACAAAATTTCCCTAAACACTTTGTGTATTATTTACACATGGTTGACATATATGGCTTATCTATGGTTGTTGATGATAATTTTGAGGATGATGAAAATGGCAGCTAACACATATAGTGCTCTGTGCTATACAGACTTCCTGGAACTTTAAGCCATTTAACACCTTAGATGAAATATGAGTATGGACATGTTCAAGGGTGATTTTTATGTTGGAATGTCCTAAAATACAGTTTATCTTTGTTAAAAAGTCGAAATTATAAAATCTCTAGCACTGATATGTGTAAATGTTTATATTAACTTTTTGACTGACCTCTAACAGTATATAACTTATAGATAACATACCTTGAGTGATTTCTATCTTGTCAATTATTATAAAAGCTTATAATTTTTTTTGTACTACTGTCATCAAAAGAAACCTATCTTCAAATCTAAGTACAGTCCTATAATTTGTTAGTATGGAGTACACAAAATACTCCCTTGGGATTCTAGAAGCAAATATTATAACTTTTATTTATATTTATCAACTTATCTTTTAGTTTCTATTTTTGTTTTATATTGTACCTAATATGTAAGTATATCGGGTATCATATCAATATATCTATTTTGGGAGTGCTTAACAACAGCAGTGTATATAATTAAAATGTTGAGATTACTATTTTATGTAATAGGCTTCTACACAGTAGGCTTTAAAACCAAATGCTGCATGTTAATTTTTCCCCTACAATAGCTCAGTTCAGTTTTATGAGTATCTGCATGTATTCCTAGGGGAAAAATAAGTTCCAGGAGGAGATCAAATAGTTGAGTGAAAATCTAAAACACAATAATATAACTGAAACATTCAGAAGGTTCATATGATCATTCTAAACGAAAAGTTAATTTTTTTGAGTCATTAGGTCCCTCTAAGTCTTTCTTCTTTGGCTGAGCAGATGCAAATTTAAGGGGCAACAGAGGAAATCACACAGACAATACTATTACTTTCATCCTGTGATGTGGTATTTTTCATTTAGTTTGGAAAATTATAAACTTCAATGTCCTCAAATATTAAGACTTCCTAGAAAAAGCTCAAAATATATTAAAAAGAAAACAAAAACCTGTCCTTTAACCTATTTCACTTAGACTTATTATTTGGTTCAGGTTTCAACACTATTTGTAGAAAAGAATGCCAATAAATATAGTTGAAAAAATTTGATTACAGTTAGTTACATAATAAAAAATTATTCAACATATGTTTGTAACTTGTAGACCTCTATATGATCTCTTGTAATCAAAAGGTTGCGTTAATTCTTAAAATTGGGAAAGAAGTATAATATAATGGAAAAAAGAAAGTAAAACAAATCTGATGAAAAAAATACAAAATGTCAAGTTGAAAAAAATAGAAACACACAGTAGTATTAACTAGCCACAAGAAAAAACACATATAAATAAGTGCCTGCTGCACAGTAATAATTAAATAGTAAGCATAGTTATTATTTTTACAAGTGAATATCTATAAAATTTTATTAGGCAATAACATAGAATCTTGGATTATATCATGAGTTTTTTAAAAAATAATCATTTCTCCATAACTTTTCCTCTTTGAATAATATTGACTTACACATTTTTACCTTGTAAGTAATTTCTTACCTGCAGCTAGAGTCACACAACATTGCTCCTTTTCTTTTGTGATCTCATTTAGCCTGTATGGTACATCCATAAGCGAAGGTGAAAGAAGTGGAAGAGAAGCGTATTTTCCTACTCCACACAGCTGGACAGAACCCAATGAAAGGTGTTTCACAAAGGTAGAACCATTCTGAACAAAGCTGTAATAAATTGAAGTTCAAAATATTATTGGTAGAGAGAAACACAAAAAAATTTATTTATTTAAAAAATTTTTATTGTAGTAAGAACACTTAAGATCTACCTTATTAACAGATTTTTAAGTGTACAATACTGTTATTTATAGACACAATGTTGTACAGATTTCTAGAACTTACTCATCTTGCATAACTAAAATTTTATACCTATTGATTCAAAAAATTTTAGCAGTATTATTTTGATTTCTTTCCTTCAAATAATCTCTGTACACAAATGAGTAACAATGGTAATATCAGTTGAAAAACATTTTTAATTTGGTTAGATTTCAAAGCGGCTCTCATTTCACCAATTTTCTAGGTGGCTTTAAGTCCAAGGTGTGTTGCGAAACAAACAGCAGGGTTGAGGTTTCGTACTTTCAGAAATTCTGCCCAAATCAATGTGGTGGCTCCTCAACTGATACATTCTGATCTGTGGTTTCGTTTTAAGGAAATTCATCAAGACAGGCAAATCACATTCATAATAATAGCAGAGTATTTTTCTCTTAACTAATGAAAAATTGGAAAAGGAACTGTGTATGTATATTTTAAAAATTATATCCATTAACTCAACTCAATGAATAGAAACAAATAATATAAAACAATTAAATGTTCCCATCAACATATATTTTTAGCTTTATAGAACAGATTTTAATATCTAAGTTTTTGTATGTTCTAGATTGAAAGATACTAATAAACTTATTATCTACTTATAAATGTTTCTGGCTGTACGAGTCTATGACAGTTCCTCATGTTTTGGTCTTTTGAGAGTGTATAACTGACTCTGTATTTGGTTCCTATACCAGCTTTGTGGATGGACATACCTTGACATTTGTTTCCATGCCGTATCCAGAAGAGTGGTGTATGCACCGATTAATACAGCATCGAAATAACATGGGATAAGATAGCGTGGGATCTGCTTCAGGTAGAAGAACATAGCCTGCAACCATCTGCCAACCTGTTATAAAGATAATTTAAAATTTTAATTTGGTGTGATTACAGGTTAGGTATATTTTAAGAGGTAAATCCAAACATGCAACTTGACTATTCAGTAATCTATCAACCGGATATCCATTTATTAGAACTAAAAGATGATGAAGAAGAAAAATGTTTCAGGTTAGAAAACAATGTAAATATTACATATAACACGGTAATACAGTTCTTACTGTGCTCTTGTTTTTTTTTGGACTAGAATATATAGCTTTACTTACTTCAGCAATAGTTCCCGATCGTGAAATAAGCCGATTACTGACATAGTCAATCATCCAATCTCCAGATCTCAAATTATCACAAAAAGGATGCCCCAAGTCATTCTTTGGTCTCATTTCTGCTAATACAGACATTAATCCTGAAAAGTCATAGAAATAGCATGCTATATTATTGGCAGAGGCAATTCGTTCCCATAGCCTGGGCTGCTGCTCGTGTCCAGTGATGTGGGGTGAACATACAGAAGTGGACACAAGGGCTGTATAGTCCACAGTGGCACTTCACATAGTTGGAGAAAAGTGTGGTCACAATGGCTTGAACCAAGATACAAAGGCATACTGAAGGGGACCACTGTCACAAGAGCTATGCAGAGCTTTCAAAGGTTCCTGAGACTCGTTCTGTTCTTTTGGATTTTAATGTTATAATATTCAAAGACAACTAGCATGGTTTTTCTGCTCTAAGGCACCTGGGGGAAGAAAACTGATAAGTCTGTGTCTTTTCATGTTGAAAAGCGGTAGGTTCATTAATATTCAGGTAAGATTTAAGAAAATCATACAACTGGTTTCGAGAGAGCAAGAGCATCTATGGTGATAAGAAGAATAAAGCCTGACATGGAAAAAATTTTGAAATATAATAAGAGGTACCTGGAACTAAACAAAGTATCAAAGTGAGGCATGTAAGCATATCTTTAAGTGATATTAAAATAGAAGCATTAAAATTTCTATGTATACAAAGCAGATTCTATGATTTCAATGACAGAACAATAGTACTTCTTTCATTACCCAATAAAGTATAATTTCCACCTTAAAAAATTACACTGGCTTTACTGACTTCATTTTGACTGCACTTATTTATTTAGAATTTAATTAATTTGACCATGTATGTAGCATATTTTGAAACAATTAAAAATAAATGCAAAAATTTAAAACATAGTTCTTTTTCCCAAGGGGTTTATAACTTTCTTTGGGAAACAAAGCTTAAAACAAAAAAACTAGAAAACAAGATAGTATAAAATAATGTTCTACATATGCCCTAGCATTTTCAGGGAAGGCAAATAATGCTCCCATTAATTCCACTTGTTGAATAACGGAATGACATGATGGAGCAGTGTTTTAGAGAAGAGATCTAACTACGATCAATGGGATGGAATGATTTGTGGAAGAAGAAACAAGAGTTTAGAAAACTCACTAGCTGGTTTTGTAGACTGTATTTTGTCTTAGAATAGAGTGATAAATGTGGACATAAAAAGGATACAGTATACCATAGAGGGTACAAAAAAATCTGCAAGTCATAATTACTGATTAAATATTGAAGATAAAAGTGGTATATCTAAAAATGCACTCCTAGATTCCAACATGCCTGAATATGTACTATTATAAGAAGCAGGGAAGTACAGAAGGGGAATTTTGTTTAGGGGAGAGAAAGGCCAATGAAGTGGGTAAGTTTGATTTAATCTGAAGTTGCTGTAAGAGCCTGCTGGAAATATCCAGTGGACTGCTAGAAATATGTTAAACTGTCAGAGAGAAAGGGGGTTGGTATAAAGTAATAGACAAATCAGTTAAGAGCAATTATATTTAGAAAGAATGAGAAAAATCATTTTATAAGAAAGTAAAGAGAACTAGTAAAAATCTAGACTTAACTTTAAGAAAAACAAAGGCCAGAAAAGAAGTTCACGAAAATGTAGTCTTTTCAGTGAAGATGTTCAACAGCTCAGAGCGAAAACAGAGTAGAAAATGTAACATACACATTTCTTTATTACTCATAGCACAAAACTTTTTGTGATGAAAATGAAAATGTTTTAGGAAAAAAATGTCATAAGTAAAAAGTATCAAAAATTTTATTGAGCTCTCTCAGCTCTTCACTTCCAAGATGGCCAAAAAAAGAAGGAATAAGGGTCATGTCAAAAAGGGCCAGGGCCATGTGCAGCCTATTCACTGCACCAACTGCACCCAATGCATGCCCAAGGACAAGGCCATTAAGAAGTTGGTCAGCTGTGAGGGACATTTCCGAAGCGAATATCTTCGATACGTATGTACTTCCCAAGCTATATGTACAACTACATTACTGTGTGAGCTGTGCCACTCACAGCAAGGTAGTCAGGAATCGCTCTAGTGAGGCCTGGTCGGACCGAACACCCCCACCCCGATTTAGACCTGCAGGTGCTGCCCCACAACCTCCACCAAAGCCCACATAAGGAGCTAACTCCAAAGAACTATTCTCTGGAAAAGAATAAAGCAGAAATTATACTTAAAAAAAAATTTTATTGAGAGCTTCTTATGTGCTTGGTTTTGTAGAAGGTATAAAGTTAAAAAACAAGGTAAAGAACATGGTGGAGTGAGAGGCGTCCCCAGATCTTTCCCTTTGAAACAACAATAAGCTGAACATCTAAAACTGAACAAAAAACACCTAACCTGCACACCAGCTCATCTGAGTGTCGGATCTGTGCCTAAGAGCTACCAGTTACACCTGTGGTAAGTACTATTGTCTCCCATTTATGGATGAGAAAACTTAGACATGGAGAGTTTACTCCATGGTTCTACAGCTAGTCAGTGTGACCCAGGGAGTCTGGTTTTAAAGGCTATTTTTTTACCCATAATAATAAAGGTTCATAAAAAACACTGTACTAATTACTAACATAAAGCAATGTATTCCAAGGGCCAAGTAATAGGTATAGCCGATAAGTGCACTGAGTGTCCAGAGGTCAAAGAAATTACTGTGAAAAGCAATGATTAAGGAAGGCTTTGTGGAAGATATATGACTTGAATTGGCCCTCAAAGATGGATTAAATGGACAAAGACATAAGGAATTAAAAAAGAGGCACAATACATGGGAGAACTAAATGAACCCACAATATATGTGATAAACCAATTTCTTAGATAAAAATCCAAGAAAATATTACCAACCAGATAGATTAAGCTGATAAATATTTAGTTTTTATATCCCATCTTACAACCACTCTAACTTCATAATATTTTACTGTAAGTTCTTTTTGTAGGGTAAAACAAATATGTAATGAAAAAAAATATTTCAAATTAGATGAAAAAGGAAGATGAATGTATTATATTTACAACCTAGTCCCATTTGGGGCCCAAATGAGTTATCTCATTTAATCCTCAAAAAAGCCTATGTATTGGGCAATATTATTCACATTTTATAGACGCAGAAATTGGAGCACAGAGAAATTATTTGCCAGAGGTCAATAAATGAGTAGGCAGCAGAGCCATAATTTGAACCTAAGAAGTCCAACTCTGAGCACATACTCTTATTTCTTTAAAGAAGACACCATATGACCCTAAAAACAAAAACAAAAGCAAAAAGCTTAACTATCCTTACATCTGCTTACCTTGAAGACCTGCATATTTAAGAGATGACCAGTTTGGTATATTATAACATCCCCCACCATCTTCTTGTTCTTCTGATTCACACCGGTAAAGTATTTGATTTAGCTCAGCCAAAGTTAATTTAGAGGCAATACTAAGATGTAAAAAAAAAAAATAAAAAGAGAACCAGTTAAATATAGTGAAATTTCACTTGCTGTCAATAAAAATTAAAAAAAAATTTGTTTTAGGAACTCATTATAATATACATTATAAACAATACACATTTTAAATAGTAATTAAAGGATAAAACACGCTAAAAAACCAATTAGAAGTAACATTTCTTCCAAACCAAGAAAATAATCAAGTGCCAAATTAGAAGTATACTAGAAAATCTTTTGGAATGTTGACTCTATTTGAAAAATAAAAATTAAAAAAGAAAAAAGAAAATCGTTTGGTTGCTATACCCTTTATCTCATAAATTTATTTTTTTTAATCTTTCTAGTTTGGGCTTAAGTTTCCTCAAACCTCCATTGTATTCTCCTATGTGGGACATCAAGAAAATTTTTTTTCTAATTATCTTAAATTCAAAATACTTATCAAAGGACCACTAAAGGGATAATCACAGTTAACCATCTCAGAAATCATGTAGTACTCTGTATATTTTCTCTCTTTTCCCATTCTCTCCTCTCCTAAGATTGCATTGCCTTTCACGGTAGTTATTCAGAAAAATCAGGATTTTCTTAAAGATCCTTCTAGATAATGGTCAGAAGGAGGGGTCTAACTATTATGACCTAGATTTCCCTTTGTTCAATTAGCAGTAAGATTGTATACTGACCACACGTGAATACAACTGAAACCCTATTTTCTTGCGCTTTTAGTTGCTCAAGTAATTTCATTTTACATAACTGAATACATTCCTTTTGAATTTTATGTGAACACATATCCTCTTGACTATACTTCCTTATTTCTCTTTTATTCCGTCTCAACTTAGAAAATCATTGGTGGCTGTGGTTTGTTCCCCCTGTTTCTGCCAGTCTTTGTCCCCACAGCAGGGATGTACTCTTTCTTCCTCTGTCATTTCTAAGTCGAGTCTGAGTCAAATCAATCAGCAATCTTAGTACCAACTCCATCCAGGGCAATATTTTTCAACATGTAGCCAGTGAACTCTTTGCATAAGAATTACCTGCAGAGCTTACTAAAACATAGATTTCTTGTCCTTGTCCTAAGACAATTTGAATAGGTCTGAGGAGTATGCATTTTATAAGCATACTATAGAAACACAACTGTTTCATCACTGATTTTTTTTTAGAATGCAACTACTTTGCTAAGAATAGTTTGAATTAAGAGTTAATATCCTTAATGATAAAAGTTCTTATAAAACAACAGACAATAGAGCACAACAGAAAAATGGGCGAGTATGTAAAATGACATATCATTGAATAAATACAAATGGCCAATGAACAAAGAATTTAACTTGACTATTTAAAATAAATTAAAATGAGATGTCATTTTACAGTATTTTATATTAACCAATTTGATTAGTAACAGCTATCACTTATCAATAACTCACTAAGTGTCAAACACTGTTTTGAGTGTTTTACATTAAGTAATCCTCATAACTCTTTAAGAGGGGCACTCCAATGATCTCTATTAGGTAACGTGCCTGAGCTCTAACTTGTTACAGCTAGTAAGTATCTGAAATTTGATTCAAACCCAGATAGTCTGGTTCTGTACTCTATGTTCTTAAACACTACATTATAATAATATATACTCAGTATTGGTAAGGATGTGGGGTAATGGACTCTCTCACATAAAATTGAAAGTATTAATTCATATAATCTTTCTGGAGGGGAGTTGGCAGTATTAAAAGCTTCAAATATGTGACTATAATCTAACCCGGAAATTTCATTCTGAAAATTTATTCTAATGAAAGCGACATACATTGAGCACTTATTATGTGCCATACATTATGTTAAATGCTTTATCTGCGTTATCTTATTTAATCCTTTATTTGCATTATTCTATTTAATCCTTAAGAAATTTAAGAGGTAGGTACTATTATAAACCCCATTTTCCAGATGGAGAGACTGAGACTAAGTAAATCTAAATATCTTGACCAGGATCATACTAACAGTGGTGAAGCTAGATTTCAAAACCCATACTTTTCCTATATGTGGTACCACCTAGTAACGAAATAATTAATAAGGGAATAATTAAGGATTTATGCAAAGGTGAATGTACAAACACATACATAATGGGAAATAACTGGAAGCAATCTAGATGTCCAAAAATGGAGACTGATTAAATAAATCATGGTATGTGT